TTTTTTTTTGGAAATTTACAATATAGATTCCACTGGTTTGCCGACAGCTTTGCCATCTGCTCCGACGTCTATCTCCATCCATTCCAAAACGATAATTATTGCATACTTTGACTAACCATCATGAGCTATTATGCATAATGGTTAGACAAAGCTATTATTTTTTAAGATTATTTTAAGAGTATCACTAACTTAAGTAATGTATAATGTTCAATTGCTGTGTAAAGTGAGTAATTCAGCTTTACTTATCACTTTGATCAAATTCATTAGATATTTTACATAATGGCTGGATTAATTACCTTCACTGTAACGCATACGCAAAGTTTAAAATGGTAAACTTGTATTATTGATTCTCAGATGTACGTTTCTCTCATATATATGTTGATAATGTGTAGAAAAGGGGTTGACATTTGCGACATCATTCTGTTAGGTTGTGCGCTATGTCTGCAGGAACGAAGAAACAGCGAAAGCTAAAGAAACGACGTTCTTAGTTTGTATCCTCCGTGCGCATTCAGCAACAGTCGGCAACGTGAATCACGAGGCGCTAAACTCTTGTGCCTACTTCATTCAAGCTCTCGAGGTCTTGTGAGCTTGATGTAATCTCTGCTAATGTGGGGTAATAAAATTTTGAAGCAATACTCGAACTCTACGGACAATTTGTTAACGAAAAATCTTTCCTGGGTGACAGTGTTAATTTTTCGACGAAAAGCTGTTTAGCGTCATTTTCTGCTTTTGAAATAAAAATAAATATTTAGATTTATTTCAAAGAAAGAATTAAAGTGAAAATGATGTTATTGAACCATGATCAGAACAAAAAGCACCTAGTACGAACGGTGGATAGGTCGGCGAAGTTTATCACTAGAGTATTAGTAGTAAGTCTTGTGACAGGGTGAAAAAATTGTGACAAAACCAACTGAATACTACCTATTACACATGCAGTTGTTTCTCGACATTTTGAGAGGAAAATGAACAGTTAGATCAGTAATTTTTGTGGGTTTACTCATTTTGACTGCACCCTGGTATAGCTTCAGCCCGCACGCGCCGTGTAGGCTACAAAAAGCGCCCTTCAGAACGAGTTCCGTGGCTGGTGGGAGTGAGACGCGCGCCTGTCTGGAAAAGAAAATTAGAATTCCCAAGACGCCGAGCGCAGTCAAGGATGGCTGCTTGGATTCGGCCGGTTCACTAGCCTATAAGATCTCACCTCAACGAGGTCACTAGCCCCCGCAGCTGTTCATTTCGTGACCTACACCTTCTTCCTAGCTCTCGCTTTCGTAAGCACCCCGCGGCTTAATCATATTGTAAATGGCGTGGAAGGTCTACGTTTCCATGGATGCAGTTAGGTCATGGTCAAGGGACGTATGAGGATGGACAAACTTTTTTTGATGTTCACTAAACAAGCTGACTAGGGTATACAAAAGACTCGTAAATGTGGCTCATTTAGAGACATAATGTTCATAAATATTAACGACTTATATGTCTCTCCGTTTTTCGCAAGGTGGTTTAGCTTTGAAACTGGTAATTCTGGTTCCACATGCTTCATGGATCACCTAATACTTTCCATATTTACATCACAATTCTCATTTGACATTATTATTCTTTTCCCGCAGCACGTTTTATAAATTTATTGCACGTGAAATATGAATAGACAATATTTTGTCCAGTTGCGAGACCATTATAATAGTCCCGATTTTCTCGCCAGTCGTATGATAATGGTGACGAATTCCAAATAACGAACTTGAACATCTGGTATCGAAATTTTCAATTGACATAAATCCAATTAAGAAACGCTCAAACGCCTCTAAAACAAGTACATATCAGAAATTCGGAACTCAGAGGTCGTATTCTCGTGGAGTGGGAAAGGGGGGAAAAAAAAGAAAAGAAACAAACGCTCATCCAAAGACGGATGTATTCGGGAGCAATGACCTTTAAATAATAATGTAGATTTCCCTTTTTTTTATAAGTAATGTAGTGATAAATGAATCTGGCCAAATTGACAGTTTACGTAATCTGCATTGGCCGGTCGACCGGGCCAGCGCGCGTCCTCGCCGCCCTTGGGTGCACAGGGGTCAGAGTTGCCGCGCCGGCCAGGGATCCAAGCGGCAGGGGAACCGGTCGGGCGATCCCGTAGCCCCGACTCGGTCGGGGCGACCGCTATGGCAGGGGCAGGGGGCGGGAGCGGCGAGAACAGGTCGCTTCTGGAAGCACTTGCGGTTCGCCTCACCCCCCCCCCTATTGACTCCCGCACACGCCAGCCGGACTTGCGCACTGTTACCGCGCTTGCCCACGCCGCGGCAGAAGCGCGCGAACGTCAATCATCAGGGCTCTTCGCCGACGACGGACAAAGGGACCGAAGCAGGTACCCGCTCCAAGCGGCCTTAGTTGCCAGTTTTCCGGGAATAAGATCTAGAGTACTGTTCCTTGGAGGGGGGTATGGTAAATTAACATTATTCTAAAAAGGGAACGAGTCTCAAAGCAGGCAAAAGTACTATTTCCATCGTTTCACTGTTGTTCTCGGTGCACGTGTCTGGCAGCCAGGCGTAACAATGTTTTTAATGAACATTTAAAATGTACAAGCAATTTTAACACTGGTAATACAGATAATAATTTTGTAAGGAAATGCGTAGTAGTGAGATAATAAAAGAATAAAGGATCATACAAATATCTTGGTGTATTAAAATTTCTACTAGTGATGCTGTCAAAGATAAACGTTTTATATGGGACTGAAAGTAAAAGTCTACCTCGACGTAGTGAGCCTTCACCGTGAATTATGAAGCCATGCATTTATTTGAAATATTTTGAAAAGACGTTTTTTAGAGTTCCTGAAACAATTCTCCTGTTCATTTGAGTCCTTTTATAAGCTTCACAAAATATTCGTACGTGTCATTCAAAGAGAAAATAGTAGGCGAAACACCATGATAGTGTAAGTTCGTCACGCAGATCAGTCAGGCGTCCTTCAAAAACTCCATCTTTATTATTACTTCGGATAATTGCAACTGTTGTCTTACAATTCTTCCTTCATTTTTCAGCGCAAGAAATTTCGATGAATGTGCAGCAAATTAACTTGAGAGAACTGAAAACAATATAAAGGACAAAGTATTAGATCCTGTAACTTTGGAGTTAGGAATTCTTTTGATTTAGATAGGCTCAGCGTTTTGTGTCGTTCGGATCATATTTACGATTTATTATATGATATTATATATTATGATCCTCGGAAAACAAACTTTTCCCGATAATCGGGGGCGCACTCAGAGTAAAAATAAGAAGTTTATATTACAAGACGTAAGGAACTTCAGCAGCTGATCCGACGAAATAAAACCCGAACTGTGCGACTACGTTTGAAGTATTTGGCAGTTGGTGCTTATTTTCAAAATAAACGTTTTGTGTACACTGTTGATAAAAGAGGGGGCTAGGTTGTCTTTAAAAATCCAAGGCAAGATTCTTGAAATTACTCACAGTATCAAGTTTCATGTAAGTCCTTTGTTGTATAACTTCTATACACGTGTCATTTATCACAGAATTCCTCAACTCTTATGCAATGCACTAATTGCGATTCTGGGAAATTCAGAGGAGGTCACAGACTGTTGTGATCATAATTAAACTGGAGAAGGGGATTCGGCGAATACCCAACGCCGTATTATCAGCTAGACTACATACATAAAATTAGTCTTTGATTTCAAAATAACTACGTCTTAATAATCTCAAATACTTATTTATATGATGTAAAAACCATTTAAGTTGCATTTGCGATTTTTGTCTGGGTAATCTCCGAAACGGGGCAAGTAAGTGGCAGGGCAGGACAAGGAAGGGTAGGGCGGGGGTACACCAATAATAGAATTGTCTCTTTAAGCTTTCTAACAGATTATTATGAATAATAAATACCTGGGCAACGCAGAGAACTTCAGCTAGGCTTCAATAAAAAAGAGCAGTTAACTAACCAAATTGCATTAGTCTTCGGAACCAAAGGAACTTTTCAACTTAATTTCGAGTTAATTTCGTTACTATATATATCCTGCGAAAGTGATGCGATTTGTGATAGAGTATGGTAAGTGATTCTGAAAATTCGCATACCTAGTCGTAGGCACCTCTCGTGATGTCTTGCGACCACTCTGCATCACAATGCA